GAAACTGGGCACAGCGGCCACTCCCCTGCAGAGCAGCATGGCCAGCGCTCCCTGCAGCCAGACCCCCAGGGCCATGTGTGGCCCTCGGTCCCCTTCCCCTCCAAGACAGGGCCCAGACCTTCTCAGCAAGCGACCTCCCGCTGTCACCCAGCAGCCAGAGCAAGGAGCAAGAAGCGCCCTCAAACGAGCCTGTGTGTGGGTGGGAGGTGCAGCCGTGGGCGTCCCGGCCCCAGCACCTGCAGGAAGGACGCGGGCTGCCCAGACCCGAGCTCAGCCAGACGGGTTGGACTTGGCCGCATGGGGTGGAGCCAGCCCTGCCTCCTGGGGCCCCGCTGCCGCCCCAGCTTGAAGGAGGGTGAGGCCTCGGCTAAGAGTATCCCCGGGGGCTCTGGGGGTCTCCAGGCTGCCCTGTTTGATCATTACAATGGAAAACTGGTGATGACATCGAAGACAATGATCACACACCTAGTCAGGGTCTCCGTGAGCTGCGGGAAGGAGGTCAGACTCTGGTCCGACTGAAGGGACTAGGGCCAGAGGGTGCAGGGGGCGGGCCACACGAGGCAGAGCGCCGCAAGGGTGAGCAGTCACTCCTCGCCCTGCAAGCCCTGGCGGCTCAAGGACTGTGGCAACTGAGGTTGGCTTGCCGCAAGGAAGGGGGCGACCTCCAGGGTCCCTGCAGGGACATGCAGACAAAGATAAAGGAGAGGGCTCTCACTGTGACAACACCGAGGCCTTGCTCCCTCCTGATCCTCCGCAGTCTGTGGGCAGGGTCTCTGCAGAGGTGGGAAAGGAGGACCGGGGAGTGGGGGGCCAGCAGGCTGCAGGCAGGGTGGACCAGGCTGTCTCCCTCCTGCCCCGCTGGAGCCCCGGGCCCGTCACTCGCCACGCCTGTGAAATCACACTGGTTGGAGCCCTGGGGGGCGATGGTCAGGATCTGAGTCCTGTCTGAACACGGAGGCCACTCTTGGCCCATGAAGTCGGGGGCGGCTAGTTCGGGAAAGGCACACTCATCCTGGCAGGAAAGTCAGGGAGCAGTGAATGAGGACGCAGCCCCACCATCTCCGCCCCCGCCCTGCCAGCCTTAGCGTCTGCTGCTGGGAAATGGGGACGAGGGAAGGGCGTTCACATCAGGGAGTATGCGGATCTTGGGCCTCATGGAGCTCCCAGGGTGACCCTTGGGAGAACCCTGAGGTCCCGAGACAAAGAGCCCCGGGAGGAGGGCCCGCAGCTGCCCGTGCAGCTCTCCCAGGGGCGGCCCCACGGCCTGTTTCGTCTGGCATCCGCCGGGCTTCAGGTGCCGGCATCATGCTCTCTGCCATCTGGGGGCAGTGGAACAACAGAGCCGGCTGCCCTATCCTCCTGTTCGCAGCAGATGATATCGTTCCCTGGGTGTCATTCCCTCATGGATCAGGCAACACAAATGTGCTGGTCTTCCGTTTGCTTTATTTCTTTATTTTGTTATGGTATAAGTTAATGCTATTAAGCAGTCAGACGCTGGCCCACCCTGGGGCTCTGGGGGGCAGGGTCCTCCCAGCTGCAGGAGAAGGCCCGAGCCACACCCCAGCTGGTGCCCACCCAGGGCTCAGGCATGCAGGAGCCCGCCGTGACGGGCCCCACGGCCAAGGCCCGAGCCACCACCTCCCGGTTCACAGCTGCAGGAGCCTGAGGAGCGCCCTCAGACGCTGCAACCTTCCCACGTGTGAGGACGTGGCCGCTGCAAGTCACATGCCAGGCCCTAGGCACAGGCAGACGTGAGAGCCTGGGAGCCCCAGGCAGAGACTAGGGTGGGGGTGAGGGGCTGGGGCGCGGAGGGAGCCGGAGAAGCGCAGGCCATGGCCAGCGAGGCAGGTCCTGCAGCCTCTCTGGGACACTGAGCCCCCGAAGGCGGGAGCCGAGCCTTGTCCACCTCTCTGCCCAGCACCCAGCCCACAAGAAGCCAGCAACAAGACAGCTATCGTGAGGGTGAGCCACGCTCAAGGTCGCCCAGCCCCACAAGGTCACCTCCTCCCAAAAGCGCCACCCTGAGCTCCTTCTGCTTCTCGGGGTTGGTACATCGAGGGGGACCCCATGGATTCCTGCCTCCCCCAGAAGAGCAGTGGGCACTGATGCAGGAGCCACACGCCTGTCCCAGCCTCCTGTCTCCACACGGTCCGCTCAGGGAGGCGACAGAAGCTCAGAGGCAAAGGGCCTGGTGGACTCACTCAGACGCTGACAGCACGTGCTCCCAAGGGTGCAGCCAGCAGACCTCTGCACCCCCACCCTACTCAGCCTGGGACCACCACACACGACCCTCAGCCCAGGGCTGCATCCTCCCAGGGGCTCTCCCTGCCCCGCCCCAGCTGCACTGTCCCTGCCTGGAGACACCAGGCGTATCTTGTCCCCTTTCATCTTCCAGGTTACGGCGAGGAGAAGAGAGATCACCAAACATCTAATGGTTTAAGAAATTATGGACAAGTGAGCGAATAATATGCTTTCTTGTCTCAGACATTTTCCCACATTCTTATTCACAACAACAAAAGTCAAACACCAAGAGGCAGAATGGATAACTGTGCTAGCAGTTTGGGGCTTCTTTCTTAGGCATTGCTTTTTCTTAAAAAAAATAAAAATAAATCTTGCAATTATATTTAATTAAATCCCTTGGTGACTGTAATTAAATCCTTCCCGAGAGAACGTTTTCTGGAAGGAATCTGTGTGTCCAGTGTCAGGATTACATGGAAACCAGGGCTGCCCAGGAGAGGCTCCACCCAGCACCGGGCCACATTCACATGCCCAAGAGAATCGGGGGCTTCGTCCCGAGTTGAGGACTTGGATGCCGGACTGACCGCGGGTCCCACTGCCTCTCCTGGGTCCTTCCCTGTTTCTCCCAGCAGTGACCATGGCCCTGGCACTGCCCCTGAGGCCCTGCTGACCAGGGTCGGTCACTGGGCACACGGGACACCGGCATGTCTGACCTCAAACTCCAGCCCCTCTGGAGGCAGAGCTGAGGCCGCGTGGCTCAGGTGCCCCCAAAATCGCCTCACCAGCACAGAGCAGCCCCATGGCCCAAGGCCCCCTGGAAACAGAGATACTCTCGTCAGGCAGGACATTCAAGGGCTCAGAGGTCACCTCCAAGGAGCTGGCAAAGGCCAAACCTTTTGGCGGGGGGCAAGTTTAATCTTTTATTGCATAAATAACAAATAAGATTTATTTCCCAAATATTGCATGGGTCATTCTTTTTCTTTCTTTTTTCTTTTTGGCTGCACTGGGTCTTTTTTGCGGGCTAACACATGGGCTAACTGCGGTGAGCAGGGAGACTCTTCTTGGGGTATGCGGGCTTCTCATTGCGGTGGCTTCTCTTGTTGCAGAGCTTGGGTTCTAGACACACAAGCTCAGCAGTCGCGGCTCCCGGGTCCGAGAGCACGGGCTTCAGTAGCTGCAGTGCACAGGCTTCGTTGCCCCATGGCATGTGAAGTCTTTCTGGACCAAGGATCGGAACTATGTCCCCTGCATCGGCAGGTGGTTAAGAATCCACTGCACCACCAGGGAGTCCATGCATGGGACATTCTTACTCTGAAAAATTGCCTGTCACTGATCTGAAGTTCCAGTTTGCCTGTGTGTCCTGTGTGTGAATTGCTCCCAGCATCCACCGCACAGCTCGTCCCTGTAGACCCCCGGCCGCTGGCTGGGGACAAGCCACCCCCAGTGCGCACAGAAGGAGGCCCGTCGATGCCAGTCCTGTAACACGGCAAACCTGCCCACCCCCAAGCCAAACTGCGCTTGGGAATGACTGTATAAGCTGGGAATTGATGCGGGAGAGGACAGAAAGAAGTGACTAAAAACAACACATAAAATACTCTCAACAAGACTGGAGAAACCAAACACCAGGATGCCACCGCCGTGGCCCTCCCAAACACCACCACTGTCAAACTTCAACATTCTGTCCTCTGCCTCCAACCTCATCTCCTTCAAGAAATAAAATCTTAGGGATGAACCCCCTGGCTCCCTCCCTCTCTCCTCCTCCTCAGTCCTTTCCCAGAAGGAGCCGAGCAGCGAGAGCTTCGGTCACCTTTCATGCCGACACACATGCCGGTGCGTTGGTCACAAGAGCAATTTCCTTCACATCAAACACGCAGGGCGTCTGGGTAATCCTCAGCATTTCAGCTTCTTTGTGAAACATCCAGACACGGAACACTCACTCATCGTGAAAATGATGATGCCTAGCTACAGCCTCAGACATGTGAGGCGGCTTTCCTGACGAGATCAGAAGATTCAAACAGAGGTAAGTCAGGACCCACGTCGCCGACACACGCATTGTTTGCCCTCAGGAACGGGAGAGGAAGTCACCCTGGGGGTGGGCCATGGTGCTTTTCCTGCCTGTTTTACCTGCCTCTATTATAGGTTGACAAACTATTAATTTGGAGATGAAAAGTGAAGAGCTGGAGACCTCAGGGATCACCAGGGCCCGCTGGGTGGGGGTCCTGTGTGTCTGGCCAGGATTCCGGGGGCCCGGAGGGAAGCCCGCAGGCGGGGCTGCTCAGGAAGCCCTGGGGCCGGGTCCCTGCAGACTCGAGCATCTCTGGGTCAGCGTGCTCTCAGCAGCCCAGCCCGCCCCCACCCCGGCCCCAGCAGGCAGGGAACCGGCAATGACAGCTCGGCTCCCAGAAGCTCGCAGTCCAGGCCAGGTAGGGGGAAGCGGGCTGTGAGGCCCGGCCTGGGGGGGACACGGGGAGGACAGGTCGTGCGCGTGGTCACCCTCCCGGGGGCCGCTCTGCCAGCGGGGCTGCTGGGCAGTGGGTGCCCCTGATCCTTGGAGCTCTTGGAGAGCCCACAGGGCCTGCACAGGCTGCTGCCCCCAAACCCGGCCAGATCAGCGCAGCTGGCTCACCCAGGCAGCCACGTTGTTGGCTGGGGTGGGGGGAGCCCCCAGGGCCTACGGTCCCGGCAGGCGTCCTGGCGGCTGTCCTACGGCCATACCCTCTCTCAGGCTGAAACCACCCTGTCTTCTTGCCAGTGACCTAGTGTTAGGGCTTCTGGCCCGTCCCCTCCAGCCTCTCCTGGACCGCGGAGGAGGCCGGTTCCCCCAGCGGCTGAGAGGTGACGGTGGTGGGGCTGTACTTGAACATCACAGTCACGTTACCGCGTCTGGGCCGGCGAGCGCCATGGAGGTGACAGGTGGACGGGGAGGCGGGGTGGTGCAGGTGAGGGCAGGCTCTGAGCACCGAGGTGATGATGTCCTGGGTGGGGTGGAGGGTGGTGATCAGGGCGACTGAGCCACACAGGGTCTTGGATGCCACTCACGGGAGCGACCGGGGTAACCCAGACCCGATCTGTGTTGGCCAGGCCTGACTCTGACCACCAGTCAGTCAGTCAGTTCAGTGGCTCAGTCGTGCCCGACTCTGCAATCCCATGGACCGCAGCACGCCAGGCCTCCTTGTCCATCACCAACTCCTGGAGCTTGCTCAAACTCATCTCCATTGAGTTGGTGATGCCATCCAACCATCTCATCCTCTGTCATCTCTTTCTCCTGCCCTCAATCTTTCCCAGCATCAGAGTCTTTTCAAATGAGTCAGCTCTTCACATCAGGTGGCCAAAAGATTGGAGTTTCAGCTTCAGCATCAGTCCTTCAGGATTGATTTCCTTTAGGGTTGACTGGTTGGATCTCCTTGCAGTCCAAGGGACTCTCAAGAGTCTTCTCCAACACCACATTTCAAAAGCATCAATTCTTCAGTGCTCAGCTTTCTTTCTTTTGTGACCACCAGGCAGGACTCAATACACCTCTAGACTGACGTCCAGGAAGGAACCCGCACGGGGGTCAGGAGCCTCCCCTGCCCAGCTTCCCAGGGCGCCAAAAGCATGAATAATCACAAGGTTCTGATGAGACCTCTCCACGTCCTGCAAGCAGGCCTGGGCCGAGCACCCCGGAAGTTATTAATGGCACGGGGAGCCTTCTCCTGGGAAGGAGGTGATGTGTAGAGACTGAAGGCTTCTTTGTCTTCAGGTCTCAGACACAGCACGATGAGAAGGCCACTGCTTCCTGAGCTTGAAAAACGCCAACACCTTCAATCAACCTGAACCCATCTGCTGTCATCCCAGACGCCAGCTGATGGGAATTCACTGCCCTCGGGGCTCAGGCCCCCACCTCCGGGCCGGAAGCTGCACCCCGGCTGCTCAGTGGCTGCTTCCTTCCTTTCTTACTTCTGCTGTTGTTTCTCACCCTGAGTGGAGTGTGCAGAGTGCTGGGGACCCCAGACCCGTGGTCATCTGCCCCTTTCCCAGTCCTCCTGCCCCCCAGAGGCCAGAAGCCTGGATTTAGGGGCCATCCTGGGGAGACGGGCCCATCCACGACCGCCTATGTGGGGTGAGACAGGTGCACAGTCCACAGATGCACCAAGGTCAGTGGGCTGCGGTTTCTGAGTCGACAGGGGTGGCGGCAGCTGTGGACACAGCCCAGTGGCCCCAATGTGCACAGGCCGGGAACTGTCTTCCAGCCGGTCTTCTTCCTCCCGCTCCTGGGAACGCACGTACCCTGAGTCGGGAGAGAGGTGGGCCTGGGCACCTTCACCAACGGCAGTGTCCACCTAGTAGCCCTTTAGCAAATGAGGAGACAGGGGCACGGAGGAACCATGTCCTGCTCTTGGGCTGAAAGGGCTCCCAGGAGAGAGCAGTGTGGTCGTTAGCGTGTGTTTGACACTTGCTGTGTGCCCGGCTCCCATGGATGAGCCCAGTCACGAGTCCTTTCCTTCCACACCTCCCTGGCCATGTGGTCTGGGGGTGCCCAGTCCTCCCACCAGTAACGGGGCCAAATGCAGGCCTTCCTGCCACACAGAGCCTGGCTCCCTCAGTGCCCAAAACATCAGCCACTGTGGTCATCATTGAGACGAGCAAGGCCCAGAGGGGCAGAGGCCCCCTGCAGCATGGACCACAGAACGCAGGGGCCCTGGGTCCCAGTCCCCCTGCCAGACATCCCTGCCCCAGGCGACCACCCCTGCAGGGCCCGGTGCTATGTGAGCAGCACTGTCCCCCTGCTGGCTGATGCTCGGGGCACGTCTTCCTCGCTGCCTGATCTTGGTGGATCCTCCCAGCTCCCTGAGCCCCAGCGGGTGGGTGGGAGGATTTGGGGAGATGAAATCTGCAAGATGCCAGCTCCATGAGGCCTTCCCAGATGGATGGATGGACGGACAGTGGGTGGAGAGCGGCAAGGAAGACTTTGGATTCCTGCGCGCAGCACAGGCCTGGCTGTAGTAGGCGCTCAATAAATGTTTGCTGAGCTGAACTGAAGGGGAAAATTGACTTTCTTCTGCCCAGCACAGCCCAGAGGCCCCTGATCGATAGTGGCCATCGCGCCTCCTGCTTTATGAAGTGGTCACACTGCTGTGTTCGGAGCTGCCAGAGAAATGTGCTGGCGAGCCTTTGATTCTGGGGAGAGTGTAATGGCGTGGCCCTGCCTGCGGAGCCCGGCCGGTGGAGGTGGGGGTTGTCCACAGTGAGGCAGGGGCGGAGCCTCTGGGGTCCAGTCTGTGTGGCCGGGAGGAGCCACCCCCTTCCCAGGGGTCTCTGTCATGCTGGGGACAGGCAGGAACAGAAGAGGCTCCGGGCCCTGCCTCTGAGCACCTCCAACCTGGGCGTGGAGGGAGGGGGCAGACCCGCACCATCGGAAATAGCAAATTTGGGCGGGGGCGCCATGCTCCACAGAGGAGGGCCCGGGCTGACGGGCAGCAGGGGTCCAGGAAGCAGGTGCCAGCCGCTCCGGTCCCACCGTCATACCAGCAGCCCCTCTCTGGGCCGGCCCCTGCAGGGCCCAGGGAGCCCACGGGTCTGCCCACCCTCGGACCGAGCACTCCAGAGCAGGGCCTGGGCCTCCCCGGCCTCCGCGCCCCGCTGTGTGGACACCGTGGGGGGCCCAGTCCCGGCTCCGCCAGCCAGGAGACCCCTTCCCCAGCAGGGACCCAGCCCTGGACACACTGTGCTCTTCTCAGAGGCTCCCTGGATGCCTGACGCCTCCAGCTTGGCCACCCCTGCAGGAGGGGACGTCCTGCGGGGATGGAGGGGGGCCCTCCAGAGCTCCCTTCCCAAGTCTTATTGGTTTTTTCCCAGCTGCCTCTCCCCCCCAAAGACTTATGCAAATCCCACAGCCGGATTGTTCTTTAATGTCAAGTGCAGGCGGATGAATGTCAGATTTGGTCCCAGCCTCAGTCAGTAGCGACACTTGATAGGATAGTTTGTAATTTCTTCCCAAGCCAGAGGGATCAGCTCTTTAAGTCCATCGCTCAACAAATATTTCCTCTCTCTCTACCTCCCTGCTCACCATCCTGTCCCCCCTGCCTTGGGGGCAGCTGCAAGGCCCTTAATCCCACACTGACACCCCCCTGAAGCTTCTGTGAAACCAGGAATTGGGTGGTGGAATCAGTTCTGCTCTGTGAATTGGGGTGCCTCTTGATCAATTGTAACCCTGCTATCATCACCTCCCCCTCCATCAGCTTTGTCAACAATGGCCCCCGATTCACCCCTCCCACTCCCAGTTCACTGTGAGTATGGTACCTGCTGTCCATCATTCCATCCGGGCTGACCTTCACATGGTGGACCCAAGACCATCAGCCACTGCAACTCAGCCAAAAACAAATAGCCGGTTAGAAGCTGGGCAGAAGATTTGAACAGACAGTTCCCCAAGGAAGATGTGCAAATGGGCATAAGCTCAGGGAAACATGTGCAGCATCACGAATCACTGGTGGTGGTTTAGTCGCACAGCTGTGTCCGAGTCTTGCTATCCCATGGACTGTAGCCCACCAGGCTCCTCTGTCCATGGGATTCTCCAGGCAATATTGGAGTGGGTTGCCATTTCCTTCTCCAGGGGATCTTCTGGGGATGCAAATCAAACCACAGTGGGATGTTGTCTCACACCCATCAAAATGGCTACTATGAAGAAAATTTTCTAAAAACAAAACAACTGGTGTTGGTGAGGATGTGGAGAAATTGGAATCCTTGCTCACTTTGGTGGGAACATGAAAGCAGGCAGCCACTGTGGAAAACAGCACAGAGGTTCCTCAAAAACTTAAGCATAAAATCACCATGCAATTCAGCAATTCCACTCCTGAGTAAATATCTAAAAGAAGGGAAAACAGGGTCTTAAAGAGAGATTTGTACACTCACATTCATAGAAGCATCATTCGTGATAATTATAAGATGGAAGCAATCCACGTGTCTACTGACAGATGGATGGATAAACAAAATGGAATATTACTCAACCTTGAAATGGAGGGAAGCTCCAACACCTGTTAGAATATGTACAAGCCTTGAGGACATTCTCCAGGCCAGAATACTGGAGTGGGTAGCCTTTTTCTCCTCCAGAGGATCTTCCCAACCCAGGGATCAATCCCAGGTCTCTAGCATTGCAGGCGGATTCTTTACCAGCTGAGCCACAGGAAGCCGTGAGGACATTATGTTAAGTGAAATAAGGCAGTCACAAAAGGACAGACACTGCATGATTCCACTTCCGTGAGATCCCTGGAGCAGTCACATTCAGAGACAGAGTAGAACGGTGGGTGGCAGGGCTGCATGGGCGGGCTGGGGAGTCTGTGTAAAGGGGGACAGAGTTTCACTTTGCAGAAGTGCAAAGAGCTCGGAGGAGGGCGGTGAGGGTTGCAAGGACTGCATGGCAGCGTGAGCACACCTCATACTGTATTCATGGTGTTAGTGTCTGAGTGTGTTCAGTGCGCACTTAAACATGATAAGCATACACGTTTTGTGTCATGTATGAGAAGTTAAGTGAAAGCGCTAGTCACTCAGTCATGTCCAACTCTTGAGACCCCATGGACTGTGGCCCACCAGGCTCCTCTGTCCATGGGGTTCTCCAGGCAAGAATAGTAGAGTGGGTTGTCATTCCCTTCTCCAGGGGATCTTCCCAACCCAGGGATCGAACCCAGGTCTCTTGCATGGCAGGCAGACTGTTTACCATCTGAACCACCAGGGAAGACCTTTGTCATGTATATTTTAGCACGAATTTTGGGGTTTTTTTTTAGAGACAGAATGAATCAGGCCATCTTGCCACACAGATACATTCACAGAAATTACAAGGAAAACCCAAGTGAACGTCCAAGGTCAGCAGGCAAGTGCAGACTCTGGAGGATCCAGGGAAGGAGCGCGACATCTCAGTCCTGAGATTCTTCAAGGCTCCAAAGTTCCAGACATAGCAGCCTGGGGCCCCCGAGGGGAGCTCACCTGAGTCCTGCCTCCTGCA